AATTATTTAGCTTTTTGTACAAGATTAGTACAAGAACCGACATGTCTATCTGCTTGGACAAGTCTTGTTTGTAACAAAAAGAAAAAATTTTTTTAACAAGATCCTCTTTTAAACTGAATGGGTTCAAAAACAGGAGGAGCTATACCCAAAGCTTTGGATTGTTTCCTTGAACCATAGATTCCTCTTATATGCGTAAACCAATACAGAAAATAGCGTTCTTTAAATTTTAACTCTTAGATGAATACGCTGCAACATTATAATTATATAGAAATACCGTAGTAGAGTGGACAAGTACCTCACTCTCAGAATGTCTTCATTCGCATTCATTATATTGATGAGAATTTACTATAGTTAAATATATGCTAACGTCTAATATCACTACAAAGCTCAGAAAGATTTCGTTGTAGGCAATTAAATTTTATTTCCAGTTCCGTTTCAATATCAGCTCTAGAGTTGAAGATACGTACGACTATTCTGGTCCAATCTTAATTCTTAATAGTCTCATAATAGTAATCAAATGACAAATACACTGAATTGGCGTTTAATGAGCGTCTCTTGTATTTTATTTCTAAATGGAATAAGCGCTCTACAACAGCTAATTAATAAGACACCTTATCATAAGATATACGAACAATTTGCGAGAAAATTATTTCATTCAGCTGCTCCACTACTAACAAAAATTAATCATCGGCATTTATACGTATCATTCAGTGGCGAGCCATATGGCAGAGATGGAACCGGTCTACCTTTTTTCAGACCGGTACTGGTGCGGGTCTGGAGAAAGGTAGACCGGACCGGCCGGTATACCGGTCTACCGATAGTGACAGGATACTGGTGATACGCCAGTTTATCAGGAAAACCCGACCTATCGACAAAATATCGATCTACAGACAACAGCCCAGGACGAACAATCCGACAGTGGATCCCATCGGATCCTATCGAATCCGACTGTTGAATTTGATCGGATCTCTGTCGGATCCGATCGGATGTCTCTCGGATTCCAACACTAGAATTTGTTCGTCGGATCGTGACCCGGATTCCGATCGGATTTTGTAGGACTCGTTGGATCCTATAAGATACCATCGGATCCGTGTCGGATTGATTGACCTGGGAGGCTGAAGCTTAAAATGAAATCTTGTGCAGTGAACTCTTTGGTGGGTTACCTTCGTACCTTGAATACAATCATAGAGCAGGAAAATGAAAAATATAGACCAGTATAGACAGGTGTAGACCGGTAGACCGGTCGATCCAAAATCCAGATCGGTACCGGACCGAGGCGGACCGGCCGGTAACCGGTACCGGTTCCATCTCTGCCATATGGTTGTAATGGCTGGAATCATTCTCGTGCCGACATTGTCTGTCAAGTACGTCTTGCTCTGTATTATTTCAATCGAAGTCTCTTACTGCCAGAAAAAATTTGTGTTCCATCACAGCATGCACTCACCTACTTCGATCACGAAGTAAGACATCATCCAATATATGTTCCTACTGTAGGCCTACTGAATACACAAGAACTCTAGAATCATATGGACATTTCTGTATCGAAAAACAATTCGATCAATGAATCATCTATACTTTACGTGAGTAGCTTTGATCATCTAATACTTCGACGGGCATCTACTAGAAAAGTAACCTATTGGTTCGAGTTCTGCAGAATTCCATTTATTCCCATAAACAACTCATTCTTGTAATCAACAGAATGGATGGTAAATGTATTCTATCAACACTATTACCCGGAACAATTCATAAAAATAGCGCAATCCATTGCAATTAAGATAAGAAATCCATTTATAGGTGCCCATGTGAGACGAGGTGATAAACTTCATCAAACTCGCAATTGCACAACACCAGAACACATTCGACATATTTTACAAAGCTGTGATAAAAATTTAACAAATGTGTTCATTGCAACGAACGAGATTAATTTGTCATTTTTTGAACCCTTACAAAAGTGGTATTCGGTGTGGACTTTGAAGGACTTCATTTATGACCAACGCTTGCAGAAAAATCCATATCAGCTTCTTATCATTGATGAACTTGTATGCCGACACAGTTATATCTACGTGTCAACATTTAAGGAAAACGATAATTATTTACACTTGTGCTGAAATGTCGGAAGATTTCACCCAATGGTTGCTATGATTTTTTTTTGATTTTGCTGTTTATTGTTACGCTCGGAAGCGCTTACATGGAGATGAACTTAGATTTAACAGCACAGCATGATAGGTACTTACGATTCACTTGCATCAAACCATTAATCTAAATATGAACTATTATTTGTATATCAAAACGACCTTTTTAGTTCATAAGAAGATAGTACTCATGCTTTTTGATTTTTGTTTTTATTTTTTGAAAATTGAAAATAATATTTTTTGTCCAGAGAGAAAAATTTCTCTTAAATATTAGAAATAATATTTTTCACCCAGAAAAAGGATTGTTTTTGGAACAGTAAAAATTATGTTTTTAATCAAGAAAAATTTTTTTATCATGAAAAAGATTTCATCAAGAAGGAAAACTTTTTATATCTCTGTAAGTGACAGAAGAACTTTTTTTTTATTTAAGATTCCGTATAAATCACTTATTGAATAAATATGACGTGCAATATGTGATAAATCGACCAATTTGCACGTGGAAGCATGAGGCCAATATTTAGTAAATTTTTTAAAATTCACAAAGTGGATATTCATTATAATTATGTCTTAGTCAAAAAAGCAGACGAATTTTAGATTTAGTTTCAATTGGTGGACGATCAATTTTGATCAGAAAATTTCGAAATTAAGGTGAATTATGAAGCAAACTCAAATAATATTAATAAAGTTATTGAATAAAAATAAAGAATGTTCTAAAATCGGATTTTGAAGTTTCACCTTATCAAGATTATAGACTCCTCTGTCGCAACTGTTATGATGATCGGTTTTACTCTTCTGAAGCACTCAAAATGATTCTTTCAATATTTTAGAGGAGTCGATAGCATTATTTCGATAGGTGACTTCTCTCGGGGTACTCGAAACTTCGATGAGTACCGATGTGTCGAAATATATACGACGAGTCGAGAATAAGTCGTCGATAGAACGCAGTGTCCGAGTCCTCGAAATTCGATGACTGCCGAGGGGATCGAAGTTGAAACAGAACGAACAAAATATATATATATATATATATCAAATTTTCGACCGCTCGTCCCACTCATTGTATGCTTTTTTTTATTTGCTTGGGTATTGCCTAGTTACTTTATCTCTTTAGATGATTATTAATCGTGTAGTTGCTTTTTCCGATAAGATATTAAGTGAAATATTAGTAGTGCTACTATCATGTCTTGTCATTTTAGTTGTTTTAATTATTAATTTCTTTTCATTTGCTGAGTGGTTTTTTTCATTGATTGAAAACAGAAGAAAGAACCTTTTGTACATTCAAACGCAAGGCAAAATGTTTCCTATGAGAACGGATATAAAAAACCGGTTTAGAAAACACATACCATCGGAAATTCCATTCAATCAAACTAAGATACGTTAAAAAGAAACGATGTAACATAATTATCATTTTCAAACACTGAGTACCAAACATGAAAACTTTCTTTTTTGTTTGATTTTTTTGTGTATTGTGTATCATAATACTTTTGAATTTAAACAGAATCAATTTTTATGTGCTCAACAGAATTCTATCGTTGATGACGTTCTAATCTGTTGTTTGATTCCCAATCGTGCATTGATTGCTATTGCCTGGTATAACCCACTGTTAACTAAGTCAACTATAGATGTTTCATCAGTGGCTAATCTTCGTTCTCTTAATGACTATATTGTGAAACACGATCTGAAAGAAGTGTTTAGGGACAGAAATGTTGACCCTTCCCACCCCCACAGACTGTGACAAACAGGGCCCAGGGGTCATTATAAACTATGATAGAAGATTTCAAGGAAATATCAGAAATGATGCATAACTAATATATGATTGGAGCATATATAGAGTATTATCTTGTTCAAAGTCTATAATGTAAAGTAAACTATTATGAAGGAATGTAATCCAATATGCACAAAACAACAGCTTTTAGAACATCGGCTATAGCAGCTACATCGTGTTTCACATTTTTAATCCCACAAGAGATTGCGCTAACAGCTTTTTTATTCTATACTCAGAATTTCAAGTGCATCGAACACCAAAGATCGAGTAGTAAAAAGAATAAATATATTATTGTTGTACTTCACGGAATTGCACTTTTCGATGAAGTGTATGTATATAAATCTATACGCGTTATCTTGAGTGTGTGGGTGTGTGAAAGATCAATGTACATACCCACACCCACAAGTTACAAAATTCATAGAACGATTGAAGAGTTGTCCACTTATAATTATGCTCATTTCATTGTCTAAATTTTATAAAAGTTATGTTAACAATTTTGTTAAACAATAAGACTCGAAAAAAATACTACATGTAACACACAAAATAAGTATGATGTTGAGGTTGAAAACATTTAATCTAATTATCTTCATTGAAAGTGAATTTAGTGTTCTTTTATGCCGTTAATATTCTACAAATAACAAATTTAAGAAATGAAATCAACACAATAATCACTAAGTACTTAACATATGTAAATTGTTTTCTTTTTAATTGACTAAAGAAAAATCATAACTTATCTAAAGAACCTACTATGAACAAATAAAAATTGACATAATCTATATACTTTTAGTTAAGACAATTTTAGTATTAAACTAACTTTAGAAATGATTTCGATTTTTTTACTTGTAAAGATGAAATTATACATTGTTTTAGCGTCAGTAATAAACATTAAAAAACCAAGGTTTTATTTTTCATCGTAAAGGATAGATTAGTTGTTATTGTGGTTAATCCTGATCAAGTACAATGCGGTATATAAGAAATTAAAAAACCCAGGATTAGTTATTAAAGAAAAAAAAAATTTTGAAAAGACAAAATTTTGTTACTGTGAAAAAGAACTTATTATGATTGGCTTAATAGTTTTTCTTACTATTGTTTTATCAGCAGATTCGATGGTTGCAAATATTAAAGGAAAAAGTTGAGTAATTATTGAAATTTTTGTTTTTGTATAAAATTTAAATTTCAGATCAACAATGTTCCGGTATATGTTGTATAGTGAGTTGTTCGTCTGGTTCACAAACTGGGTAGATAATAAAAAGACATATAATCTTTCTGTTTTTTCTTCTAAAACATATTCCTCGCTTATAATTGTAGTACAACATCTGGAAATTCTCAAACTACACAAGAACAAGGTAATTGTCAACAAACAGGATGTCCAACTGGTTCATGTTGTTCAAAATATGGCTATTGTGGAAATACACCTGAACATTGCGATCAAACACCAATAAGTAATGGAAATTGTAAAACTCAAGGTTGTCCTTCAGGACAATGTTGCAGTGATTATGGATTGTAAATGAAAATGAGTTTGAAAAAAAACAATTTTATTTATTTTTTATATACTATAGTTGTGGTACAACTGCTGCCCATTGTAAAAATGGTACTGGTGTTCCATTTGTACAAGGTGATTGCCAACAAAAAGGTTGTCCACGTGGACTTTGCTGTTCAAGATTCGGCTAGTATGTAGAAACAGGTTTATCAATATTAAGCTTTTTTTTTATTTAGTTGTGGCAGTACAGCAGCATATTGTTCAGGTACATCAGGATCGGTTCCTCCGGGTAAAAATTTATAGAAAAATTTTATGGAAGTATAAAGGAGCTTTTTTTTTGTTAAATATAGGAAGCAGCACAAGTGGTAGTTCAATAGATTGTTCAAGTTGTGTTGGTAGTATTGTGATCAACTGTCCAAAAGCCTGTCGTGAGCAAAAAATAAAATCTATGTTTTTTAAACAATAATTATTTACATTCATAAAGAAGAGGAAAAAATGACTTTTTAAATTATATTTTTGTCAATCTATATTATTTTTATCGGATTTGAAATAAATAATAAATAAAAGAATGACTATTTTATCTAATTGGTGTTTTCAACGAAGAAATTGTTTCATAGCAGTTTCGTGAAAAAAATACAATCAATTAGTTAAGTACTATAGCCATTCGCATACTTATTATACTATATTACTGAATTTCAATAAATTTACTATTTTAAAATTAATTAAATCAGTCCTTGTAAAATAGTAATTAAAAAAAACAGATCTCTAAGATTGATTAAAATAGTTTTAAGTTATTATTCTTTTATGCCTATGCGATGAGTTTCGTATTAAAATACTAATATCTTTGTGTATCAATGCCGCACGTTTATACTCACTACCGTTGAATATAGAACATCATTACGGACAGTTCGCTTAATAAAAACGAAAGATAAATGTTAAAACATTAGTTCCTTAAAGACATCTCTAGAACTGATGATACCATTATTTTTTTTTTTCATATGAGAATAGATTATGAAAGTAAACATCGGAATATCAAAACATAACTTCTTTCAAGAAGAGATTTTTTAGAGAGATCTTAATCATATTGTTTTTACGTAATCATTCTATTATAGTTATAATGCATAATTCAGATGCAATTTTATACAGAGTGTCGATTTGGATGTCATACAAGTGCACGGCTGCTATGCACATCTCAATTACCAATAACAAAGTTACCACAGCTTCCACTCCCCCCTACCATAATCTACAGTAGCAGCCACTTGCTCTCGTATCCAGATCGACAGATACCATCTGAAAAGATCCTTCAGGAAGGCCGAAACGTGTCGTAGTAACTGAATTTCGATTTTTTTTCTTGTCAAAGAATACTCAACAGCAGTTGAATGTCAAAAAGATTAAGGAGATAAAATAGCTTGTGAATCTATCATAATAACAGTATTATCGTTGTCTCTATAATTTTAACATAAATTTTTATATTTACAGGAGCATTTTATCAAGGTAAATTGCAAAAGACTGTGGGATGCTAATAACACAAAATAAAAATAATGATACAAAACAGATAATATAAGAGGCAGTAGAAGGATTATTTAGAATGCCGAATAATTTGTCCTTCACATCGATTGCTCTCAGTGATAACAAAATGAATTCTATGAAATCTTTAACTTTTTGCTTATCGTCTTTTATATTATTTGTTTGGCATCTTCTCCCGTATTAATTATGAATATTATTATGCCAAAACAAGTAACGATAGTAAGCAGACAAAAGCAGCATTTTTATTTATCCATGTTTTTACTTCGTTACTTCATACATGGCATCATTAAATCGAACATCTTTCTAGAAAAAGATTATGGTTGTCTATCAATAAATGCGATGGGCTATAGTAAAACCTATTCACCAATGAACAAGAATGAATGCAGAGGGAAGTTGATGGCCAATCATATTATTCATCTTCTCGATTATTTGCACTTAAATAAAGTTATTGTCGTTAGACACGATTGGGGTACGAAGCCAGCTAGTCGATTTATTTTGTACCATCCTAAGACGAGCATTTGGTCTACTTCTGATGAGTGTTCCTTATCAAGTTCCAGGAGTATTCGATATGAAAAATTTTAAAGCAATATGCGGTTATGACATTTTTGGTTATTGGAAATTTCTTGAGTCTGACGATGCTGCTTGCATTATCGAGAATAATTTGAAAAATTTTATCGGTATTCTTTATTCACCTAATCAGACACTTGCCAGAACGATTTTTCATACGATTAGAAACATGAGGAAATAGATAGTTGATGGAAAACGACTACGAAACTATACGGCAATATCTTGCTGGTGCAATGCAGCCGAAATTAAATTGATTTAAAGTTTCAATTACGAATGCTGATTGGAAAGATGAAAAAAAAACTTAATCCAACAATTCGATGACCACTTCTCTTTTTAAATCTATTCTTGCTGGAAAACGTCAATACACACCTGATTTGAAAGTGGTCTAATTGGATACTAGTCATTGGATGATGGAAGAAAATTCGACAGCAGCTAATCGAATTATCGAAGAATGGATTGAAATAATCTTGTAAATCTCTTGCAGTTTTTTGACTTATTATCTACTTACAGTCATTGTCAAATGTCATAATACTTTCAAGTTTACCACAATTAGGTGCTTTTTACTTCGAAATTGTTTACGACCAACGGAATCTAAAACCTTTGATTTGTAAATGTTAACTCATCCTCATTGAATAAATCTACCCTTGACTTACGAGTCGAAGATATCTAAAAAGTTTAGTTTGATATCACTCTCAAAATTGTTTCGATCAATTTATTGAAAAGCATCATACGCGGTTACAATGGTGTACATAACATTTCCAGAACTTTATATGTACATAAAAAGCTGAGACAAAGTCATTCAAAGTAGTCATAAATTCGTGTCTTATGTGATCTGATAATTGATATTCTTCATCTTTAACAGAAGTGAAAATTCACATAGGTTGGATAGTTATGAAAATTTCACTGTATGGGCGTGAATCTTCCGTTCTCTGTTGTATCTACGCTCACGTTCATACTCATATCTTACTAGAACACGATTCAATGTTAATTAGGTGCGAATGACATCTTTATGTAAACTTCTTTGGAAGAGAATTTTTCTACAATCCTACCTTTTGACTTCTGAATATTTCGATATTTTTATTTCTACTAAAGTTAAGAGAATCTTTACAGCGTCATAATTTACTTCGTGTGCTATGGCATATACTTTTAGCCTTTCATGGAATGCAAATTTCTATTTGCTCAAGTCAAGTTTTTCCTATAAAGAACTTCATGTTTTACTGAATAGTGATGCTGCTACATAATTTGGGCATAATATCATTTAATGGCTTACGCATATATTCGATAATATTGTATAAAAACAGTTAATTCTGTTCTTTTAATACACTAAAACATATATTAATACAATCATTACTAATTGCTACCCGTATAAGCAAGACTATATGACATTTGTTTTGATGCAAAGAACTTATACAAAGTTTGTTATAGATTAGATTTCGATTAAACTGATTTCATAATATAATCAAAGATGATCTATGTAATGAATAAGTTCCATTTATTAGTATCTAGTAAACTTCCGGATCGATTTTAACTGTCATAAAAAGAATCACCAGATACATAGCTTTAAATCAAAAAAGAGGTTAAAAAAATTAAGACTTTCGCACTAAAAAGAAAAGAAAATTAAATAAAAACTAATTAAGTGTAATTAAAAATATCTTCGAATTATGTTTGTTTTTAATTTGTCATTTCCTAGAAGGAAATTATTTTTTTTTACATGAATCGAACTATCTTATCAAAACAGAAATGTTCTTATACATTTATAATCTGATCTGATTCAATGGTTTGGTTGTATCAATTTCTTTTTTTTTGTCAACAAAGAAAAATAAACCTGTTTACTTTTTGAACGCATGTAGATACCACAAATTCTTACATAAGAAGATGATGCAGTTTTATTTGACTTGTTTGATATCGTTTTAAGTTAAAGAATAGGTAAGATTCTCTCAGCATATAGTTCGCTAATAGTTAATGATAGCTCTGGTATTCAAAAGCAATTCAACATCAAATAAGCCACTTCTGAGCAGTTCTCTTAAGCAGACGCCAACCAGCTCACTCTTGAGGGTGTGGGTCTTCTTTATGATAATACCCATACACTCATTCCCACTGGCACCCACACCCCATCCCACTGTATATATATTTGTTACATTCTATTCTCATATGTCAAAATAATATTAAAAAATTCATTTCACTACGAGCGAAACTTTTGTCGTCGACTAATTATTTTCAACCGTGTATGTATAATTTTGATATTCACTTCCCAGGTATCCTTGGAGTCAACTTATGTTCAATGAGGTTGATATCGAAAACTCGTAAAGGAATAATGAGGCGCATCTTCGAACTGTGAATGAATGTTGAGAAAGTGTTACATGGAACTATTTTCTTAGCAAGCAGATATATCCACCGAATTCTATGTATTAGTGAAAATTTGAAATCTCGCCAGAATAATGTCGATATAAAATTTTTTAGTGTAATATTCTATAAAAGTCTATGGAATCAAAGGAAGCATTTAAAGGTTCTTTTTGAAAAATTGTATAGCATCTTGAACAGCCTTGTCTCTTTGTTGAATGGTTTCTGGAGAATCACCCGGTCGAATGACAAATCCATGAATAGTTCCAGGATAATCAATAAATGTTGCCAAACCTGTTGGAGATAAAGTTTTTTCGAAATGTTGTCGCATATCCGGTGGAAATCTTTCATCAACTTCTGCACATTGAAAAAGAATTGGCCTCTTTATTTGTTCAGCCTCTTCATTGACCAAAAATGTTGGATGAGCAACGGCACCTGCTTTCACCGCAGAGGATAATTCAGGATGAATAATCAAATGTACCACTAGTTTTGCACCGTAACAATAACCGATGACCTAAAACAAAAACCTTTATTTATACAGATAAACAACAATAGCAATATTTACTTGAATAGAATCATAATGACCTTTAATAGTCGATATGTATTTATCAATAGCTAAACATGCTTTATCAACAGGATGTTTAGGTAGCCAAGTTGGTAATTTTTCCAGTAACTCGGATCTTGATGCATTTGGATCCAAGGAATCTCCTTCAAAGAGATCAGGAACGAGAACTGTTGTTCCCGTCGATTGAGCAAAAGTATCCGCTATTTTTCGTGTATTAATGAACGAAAAGCCAAAGATATCAGTAAAAATAACAATGGCTGATTTTCCTTCACCTGTTTTGTAGGTTTTAAGTCCTCCTGTTGTTTCTTCAGTACCTTGAACAGTGTGACTTTGTTTAGCACCAGGATCGACACAGCACGGACCAGGGCCACTCATTTTTTTTCAACAAGATTTTTCTCAGACTAAACACTTTTATTTGATCAAACGCTCTCACAGGTATGATGTGCTTCGTATATATTACAATGATAAGATAAAACGGGCAAAATAAATGTTACACTTATTTGTCTAGTTTATTCATTCTTCTCTCTTCTCTTTTTTGCATTTATATATTATCAACCAATGCTAGATGAGAACGAATAGATGACGCTCGAAACATGGTCATCTCATAGGGATATATCTCCTATGTATGTGTATTTTATTCAGAGGTAATCTCGCAGAAAAACAGTCTTTAAGAGTGAGTGTCTGAGAAAATTAGTCACTTAAGAACATCAACGATGGTGTGATACCTCAAAATTTCCTGATTTTTTTTTATATGTTGTACAGGACAGAGTGAGTTATGTAGATCTTGAAATTTTTAGCCCTATCTGATGAGTTTTCGAGGTGTCACACCATCGTCGGTGTCTGGCTCTCTCAGAAACGTACTCTTTTAAGAGTTGTGAAATATGAAGTTAACAAAAAAAAGTAGGATAGATAACTTTCTTGATTTTTTCAAGAAATTCTTCACAAATTTATATTCTAGCAAAAAACTTTCAAAATTCAGAAGTTTATAGTTAAAATTCTCGCTTGACCTATTCCAACTTTCAAGGTCTATTTTAATAACATTAGTAATGCATAGAAGAGAGAAGAAGCCAAGAAAATTGTTGTAGTACGTAACAGTTAATCGATCATTGTATCGATGCATTATTCAAAATCAAAAATTTTATCTATTACTACACGATACAAAGATATTGCTTATCTTAATGCGAATCGATGGGAATAGATAATTTTAAATTATTGGCCTCAGTTAGAAAAATTTTATTTTCAATGTGATATTTATTCTTTTAATGAAAATGAACTTCAAATAAACATTGGCAAATCAGTTCAATTTACTTCATCATTATGGATTAAACGAAAATGAGTATTTGAAGCAGAAATTGATTATGAAAATCTCATCTATTCAGTCCGTCCATATTGGTACATTGAAAACAAATCATTCTTCTATCCAATATAAGTCATATTTTCTTTATAATGTATGTTGATATGAATGTGATGCACAGCATACAATAATCTATTCTTCTACTGAACTTTCTAAATCTAGTCAACTTCTAAATACTGAAGAAGTTGATTCTTTTTATTCGAAAGCAAAAACAAACAAAATTATAAAAATCTATCTCGAAGACATGATTGATATTGGTGGAGTATATCTTCTTATCGCTTTTTATCCTTATATAGAATATCTTCAAGTTAATTTTATATTCAATAGGAATCTTGAATTATTTTTACGAAATATTTTGAAGAAAATTAATCGGCAACATAATAACCATCTTCGTTCATTATGTTTCTGTGTTAAAGCAGCAGACGATAACATGATTCGCAAGTTTAAACAAATGAATAATATGGAAGAATTGCTTCTTAATTATATAATTACATGTGGATTTTAATCATATTTATTTACAACGGAAATGATTATAACATGTATTGTTATATAAAATAAAACCTTCCATCTATCTCCTAGTTGAAAATATTTCAATGAGAAGTGAAGAAATCTGAATTAGAAAATTCAATTTTTAATTTTTCGTTGAAGTTTTTTGATATTCTTTGTCTTCATTTCTCTTGATAATGATTTAACTTCCGTGACACTCTTAGCTATTCGAATCCCTACTGAGCCGAAGAGTAGAAAATAAGACAAGAAATTAGAAACATTATGGGATGCATTTCGACCTTGTTTTAGGGTCTTCATCAGCATCAGGTATGTTCACAATCTATTATTACATCAATCAAAAAGAACTTCTTGGCACTCTCAGCTCTGTATCAAAATTCCTGCCTTCACCCGCCGTAAGAGAGACGCTGCGTAAGCTCTGTTCAAAAATTCCCATGGCACCTCCATTTTTTGACATGAATTGCAACGGTTTTGTATTAAGTGAGTGATCTCACTGTTTTTTTTGAAATGCTCCATAAAAAATGTTAATAGAATAGGTGATTTGTTACCAAGTCGGAAAAACAGACGTCAGATCGGATAACATCTTACGCTTACAAGATTTAAAGATTAAAAAACATATACGAACCGACTGAATGATTCTTGTCAGATCTTATTTGATCATATAAGATTCGTAAACAAAGAAACATAAAACAGTACATTTCGCAGATCTTGTCTATTCTTATCTAACCGTATCTGATTTGACGTGTTTTTTCTCTTAGAAGAAAAATCATGATTAATTTGTTGTTATTACAAAAAACTATAAATAACAAAAAAGTTTTGTTGAA